TTTGCAGTTCACCTCCCCTTCTCTATTTATTCCACTTTATTTTTTGGTTCTGCCGTTCGTTGGCTGGCAGCTATGGTTATGGCTACACAGCTCTGGCTCCGTTGGCTAATGGCTGATTGCTATGTTGTTTTTGTGGTTTTTGTTTTTCTTACGGATGTTGTTGTTTTCCCTGCCGATGTTGTTGTACGATGTGTTGTACAGGGCAAAACTGCGAACGAGAAAAATAATCGAGAAAAACACCAACTATGAAAAAGCACAAAACGAAGCAAAGGCAAAAACACACACATGTATCGCCATTGGAAAAAGAAAAGCCGCTTCAATGTTGGGGAGCAACAGCGCGCTAGCCCCAATAACTTTATTGAAATTTAACAAACCCAAAATGCATAAATACTCTATACTTACCACGAAAGCAATTTTTTCAACTATATTTGGCTAATTTTATTTCGCCACACGCGTGTTTACAAACAAAATTCTGAACCGAAATCGAAAATGAACAACTGAAAATTCTGCACAAAACACGTTTCTTCTACCAACGAGAAGACGGCAACACAGGGTGTGTTATATATCTGACAGTTGGTAGTACTGCGCCGAATACACACGCAAATGACATCTGCAGAACTTTTATAGAGCGGAAGGGAACAGCTCGTTGTTGAGGGGAAGAGGTAACTAGAATAAATACAAATACCATTGCACGCAACATAACGAGCGCGAGTTTGTAAATATATGCGCAAGAGTCATGCGGGGTAGGGTGGTGGAGGCGATGAATAGCAATTACCCAACGCGCATTTTAGTTTCAATTGAGGGTAAGTTCTAAGCTATAGAAATGCATTCCATAATTTCCAAGGTACATACTTTCTTAGCATGGCGCAATAATCAGGTGAAGTAATAAAACAGCTTTCTCGCTTTAGGTTCTGTCATTCGGCTATCTTATGCAAATTTGTAAAGGAAAATTTTCAAATAAGATTGTGTAAAAATGAACAAAAAATTTTTTTCACGCTCTTGTTTCTAGTATAATTTCACTATGCTTTCTGACAGCCCTTAAAATATCATGAAAAATACGAGTTCACTTAACATCGGTATTCCCACGCTAATGACAAAACTCAAAGGCTGACTATACTATGCCGCAGATTTATTTTAAGCTCTTTAATGATGAAAATGTTTATTTTGTGTTTTAGACGCAGTAATTTTGAAAATAGTCACGATACATTTTTTCACTGTTTTAAATCGGCTAATGATCTAAATAATGCAGATGAGATAAAAGACCTTGGCGTAGTGTTTGATGATCGATTTTCTTTCAATAAACACATTATCTATGTAACTGCAAAATCGTATTCTGTTCCACGATTTGTAAGACGCAATGCCTCAAAATTCTCGGATCCTTATACATTCAAGTTACTGTATTCGTAATTTGTTCGGTCACATCTCGAATATGCGGTTTTTATTTGGAGGCCGTATAATCAGAATGCTATAAACAGGGTTGAACGTGTTCAAAAAAATTTTCTCAAGTTTGCCCTTCGCTGTTGGAACTTTTCAGACCCTGTCATATTCTTCACGTCTCATGCTTTTGAATCTCAAGTCTCTAGAAAGTCCCAGGTCTGTCTTGTGCCTTTCGTTTACATATATATAATGGTATTGTTGATTGTCCGTTTTTGTTAGAGAGGATCAGATTTAATGTCCCCAGGCGATCCCTTAGAAATTTCCTTCCTGTTATTATAAAACCATAGACTAAATAAATAAATAGGGCGGTAAACTGTAGGTACATATTGCACACCATATTCAAAAGCGGTACAACTCAAAAATTAGATCCGAATATCTGCTTGTGCGCTGACGACGTTTAAAAATTTACTGTTACACGCTATGCATTCTTCTCATTCAATTTCAAGTGTCAATTCAAAAATTTCAAGTGTCAATTCATAAACGCAACAGAAAGTAGCGTGTCGGTTTGATTTCGATAGCAACTGCGTTAGCGCATTCGTAACCGCGGGGGAATTATATCAGGTGAAATAATTAGAGCCAGAAAAAGTTTTTGACACTGCCTTATTTGTAAATTTGCCTATAAAATTTGACTATTAGGCAACCGAATGTCAGAAAATAAAGAAATAAAGCTGTTTTATTACTTCATCTGTTTATTGCGCCATGCTCGTAACGCCTTCGTTTGTAATAGCCCCCATACAAATACACGTAAACAATTTAGTTGACGAATTTGCCGGCGAACGCATGTTGTGTCCCTTCTATTTTGTTTTACGATGAGGCGTGTTATATGTTATATGTTGTGTGTTATGTGTGTACATATCTTTAAAAAGCAAGAAAGGAATACAAAGTCCTTAAGAATAAACCGTTGAAAACTTATCGTATCGCAAAAGTAAAATTAAACTTTAACTATTTATTTTTGCACTCACACTTTAAACTCATTAATTTAAGAGTACATACCAATACATATACCATATACATATTTTATAAGCCAAACACACTTGCTAAATGTTTTTTTTGCACGATATGTATTTGCATGTGTACTTTTCACATATGGAAGTGCCAACATATTGTGTAAAGGCAAATTACATTAGTTTGTAGATCCACGTACATACGAATAGAAATGTTTATATTCTCATCGGACGTACAGACAGAATCATTTGTGCTTGGTTTATTTCGATATCAAAGGACATAAATTTAAATAGTTAGTTAAATACTGTGAATTTGACAGACAGATTCAATTACATGTGTATCGAAACAGTCAAATTTACAGTTTGAAATACATATCGTGTAAGAAAACTTTAAGTAAACATTGCCCACCATTTTTGCTTGGTGGGTTACTTCCGACAGCATTGCCAATTCTGCTTATTTATTCCGATTGTTAAATTGGACAGAAAGAAAAGTGGAATAACTTCGCAGCTCTAAAAGAGGGCATAATGGCTGAGCTACCGCAAAATTTACAAATTGTAAAGACAGAAGGACCCCAATTACCGGAAACGGAAGTACAACCGCGTCGGCTTATTAAGGAGCGCCTGAATTTACACGTGAAACGTCGACTCCAACAAGAACAGGAACCGCAGGCACAAACGCAGCAGCAATTACAAAAAATTACTCACCCTTCTGGGAATATAGCCCGAGAAACTGTCGCTATTACAGCGCCCCAACAATCGCCCAAATCAGCGAATGTAAACGTGAATTTGGCCGAAAACGACGTCACTGCCTCGACATCAACATCGAAAAGGAAAGAGAAACAACAACAGAAAGAACCAGTCAAAACACGAAGACCCTATCAAAAGCGTGTAGACAAAAACACCACCAAAATACAAACACAAACGCAAATAATTGAAGATGGCGGAAAAGGTCGCAAAACCAAACGTCATAAGCAGCAGGGAACATTTTCTGCTGCAGGGCCGAGTGGCAACGCCGGTGTATTATGTTTATCGCCCGGCGTTGAAGAAGGCAGCGCTGGCGGCGGTGATGAAGTGGATGGTCGAGATATGTATTCACGAGATAAGGAGAAGTGTCCCGATATTTTAGGTATGGTGTTGAGCGGCAAAAAGCGTTCCTTGATGCAAAATGCAGAGGTTCAAGAATTTTTAGCCAAAATAATGATTGCATTTAAAAATTAGAACTTAAGATTAAGAGCTTTCAATTAAGGTAATGAAGTCATATACTGTTACGTTTATTATTCACATACACTAGATTATTAAATAAAACGTTGAAATTACAGTAGGGGTCTTCCCTTAAACTTGTAAAAGCCTCGTAAAGCTCGTAAATTTACGAGCCTCGTAAAAGAACTGTCAAAATTTGTATGGAGCTTTATTTACGAGCCCCTCGTAAATTTAAGCCTGCTATACAGTTCAATGTGAGCGTGAGCGTGAGCTTTTTATGTTGACCAATATCTTCGTTATTACTTAACTTATTGCAATAGTTGATACATCAAAAGATAGAGAATAAAAAAAAAATATCTCAGAATTATAGAATAAAACCTAATTTAAAATTCATATGTTTTTTCAAGCTTGCAGTCAACTGTGTGCATACGCAAAGCATTCACATGTGAACGACAAGTTTTGACAGATGTGTGTGAGCGTACATAAGAATACAAATGGAATTATTTGCCTTTGCGAACGTTCACGCTTGCGCTCGCATTGAACTGCATATCAAGCTTTACGAGGCAAATTTGATGCTCAAACGCCCTGTTGTTGTTGTTGTTGTTGTTGTTGTAATACAAGTTCCCCAAAGAGTTTTTGGGGTGTGTTGCTGGAGCGACAGTCCTTGGCCAAATATAAAGGTGAAATTATTTAAGAACGCAGAACATATACTTGAACGCAGTCTGTATCAGATGGTGGACCTAACAAAGTGCATGTTTTGAATGGCTTGGAAGAAGCTGTTATTGCATTAACTGGATTGAGAACCAAAGCTTGAGGCATAGGAGGAGTTCTGGCTTGTGGTTCCATAATTCAACCAGAAGCTGACTAATACTACGTTTATGCATACGCTAATTCACGAATTCATTTTATGAATTTGGGTTAAAATTGGCTGCATAAACACCATTTCATGAATTCAGTTATACACGAAAGTTTACCATGAATTCGGCACCATTTCATAAAATCGTGAAGTGCAAGTCCGGCAACGCCAAGTTTGACAAACAGCTGTTTACTAGGGCCATGATGTTTTTAGATTAAAAAGCTTGAGTGGCATAACCAGGATTTAAAACACTGGAAAAGTTGTGTGGAATCGTTGAAATATATTTGGCTTGAAGACAAACCGGTTTCGGCGTTGTGCCATCTTCAGTGCCATTTTTCGTTCTGAAAACCGGAACCGGTTTGTCTCCACACCAAATTTGACAAGGGATGACGAAAACGTTCATCAGTCAACTCCGGCTACGCCACAGTGTTTTTGCATAGAATTCGCTCCAAAATTTTCGGAAAAGTCCATATTTCAGGCGTGAAGAATCCCCAAAATTGGACTAACCCTACCTTATATCAATCTTCCATTTACGCAGAATCACTAACACCATAGTAAGGTTCCAAAAAGATATTCAAACTGGTTTTCCATATTGAATCGTGGAAATAGGTAAAAAAACGGCGATGTGTAAGAAAATCAATGTTGCCGAATTCCCATTTTCAAAAATAAAAAAATGCATAATGGGCCGTATGAATAAAAATAAGCAATTGCTTTTTCTTAAAATTCCAGATCTTTTACTCAATTTATTCAAACAAAATTGAAGTGAAAGGTATGAAATTTTAAGAAAAAGCAATTGCTTAGTTTTTATTCATACGGCCCAATACATATGTATATTTCCTCAAAAAAAAAGGCTATCGATAGTGGCCAACGACCATTCGATAGTAGAAAAAAGTAGCACCATTCGATAGTATTGTGGCGAATACTGCGGCAACACAAAGCGAACAACGAGAAATAGGCA